CTTCACATCTTTGAGGTTATGTTACCTTCTCAGAGAGGCCTTCCCTACCTCAGCCCTGTTTATTCTCTATCCCAGCACGCTGACACTAATCGCAGTTTGTAATTGCTTATTACTTACCGACTTATGTGTTCCTTATCTGTGTCCCTGTTAAACTGTTAGTTCTGTGAGAACAAGGACCCAATAAGTTCTGTTCTCTACTCTGTCTCCAGCTCCTAGAAGCGTGCCTACAACATGGGTGCTCCCTAAAGGATTGTTAGATGAATGAGTGAGGTTAACAGATGACATGACATTTCATCAGTTACACACCCATGGCCAGGTTTGGGTTTTCTTCTTAGGGTACTACCTCTGGGTATGACTGTGGCTCAGTGTTCTCCAGATGCAACCATGACCTCTTTGTGGGAGGGTCCTGTTTTCTAATCTCTCCAAAGCTTTCTGTCCCCATCCCTAGGACCTTCATGGGCATCTCGCCATCTTCAGGGCTTCTTCCTAAGCCCCCAGGAAGCTGGCTATTTCAATATACTCAAAGAATTTTAGAGGAGGAAGAAACCAAATAGACCCAAGGTCATTTGACTCTGGTCAAATAGACCCGTTGTGATTTTGTGAATAAAGTTTTCTTGAACGTGGCAAGGTTCTTTCGTGTGCCTATTGTCTGGGGCTGCTTTCCCGCTATCATGGCAGAGTTCAGTAGTTGAGACGGAGACTGGATGGCCCAGAAAACCTAACATATTTACTATTCGGCCCTTTACAGAAAAGGTTTGCTGACCCCTGAAATAGACCATCTGATCCAAGCCCATCCACTTTACAGATGAAGACACTGAGAGCCTAAACATTTGCAGACCAGAGCCAGAGTCCTACTGTGAGCTCTTTCTTGGCAGATTCAGGACTGGAATCCAGTTCTGCAGAATCCCAAACAAACCAGGCTTCTCCCACGTCCCATAGCATCCTCCTTAGCACCCAGCCCCTCCCCAACCAAACTCCCTTTCACTTCTGAGTGGTCACCCCCCACCCCACCAGCTTTCTCTTCACTGTTTCACAAAGGCTCCACCCATGCATGTTCTCCATCTCCCACTGGAATCTGGGCCCAACAACCTTCCTGAGCTGACTTGCTCTCTTGACTCTGCAAGAAGCCCACCGGGCTTTGCTCTTCCCTTCGGAAATCCCTGGTCCTAACCCCACAGACCTCCTGTTTGAACACCACGGCAAAGATTTCGACGGCCACTGCCCTAATAGAGTGGACAGTGTCCCTCCCCCGCTCTGTTCACCTCAGGCCACCCACTTGGGGTTCTCAAACCCAGCTTGCTCCAGAATTCCCAGAGGAGCTTACTTAGAATGCACATGCCCAGGCCCCAGCCCAGACTTGAACCAAAACTCTGGGGAGGGGGTGACTTGAGGCCTTGGGAATTTTCACACACACACCCATGATTCTGGCATTGAGCACAGTCTCAGAACCACTTCACGAAGCCGTGGGCTTCCCAAGCGTCCTCTAGGCGTTAGTCACTGAGGACAACTTCAGAACAAAGTCAGTAGCCAGTGGAACATTGTTCCCTTTAAAATACATAAGGAGAATGCAGTCTTTCTCCTTCAGCTTTCTCCACCCTCTCCCTAACTCAAGGCCCTGTATTCTTTCCCATCTCCAGTGCCTCCCAAAGAAACATCACAACACTTTCTCCCTGCCTCTGAATAGACGAGATAAGATTTTTAAATGAGTTGCTGGGAAACAATTCATGAGCTTATAAACTATTGAAGTCAGGGTGATGAAGAGAAGACGATGTTGAAAGGAGAACAGGTACACAGAAAATTCCAGAGGAGGCTGGAATCCTGGGGTTCAGGGTTTTTTACTGTGGTGCTCGCTAGCTGTCTTGGTACAGGTGTGATCCTGAAGGCAGCAGGGCCTCCTTCTGTCCTCTTCAGGCTTCCTCAGGAGCTGGCGGCGTGCCCTGGGCCTCAGCACCTCACAGAAAGGGCAGCAGCCGAAGGGCAGTGTGCGGGGGAGACACAGCCCCCCAGCGACAGGAAGTTGGGGGCCACTCTTCGGGGGCACTGAGCAAAGGAAAGGCAGCATGGGCTGGTGGGTGCCGCCTCCGAGGAGGAGAGTTCTCCCAGAGGAGAGTTCTCTGAGCGCTCAGGGCTGGTTTCTACGGTGATGGAGACATGGTGACAAAAATAAGTCTTGCTCACCTGAGACAGTGGAATCCAATTCAATTTCAAGACAGTGTGTGTTTATTGAGTGCCTGATGCGGTTTAGGTGATGGAGAGAACGAGAGAGTGAGGGCGACAGCCCAAGCAGCAGGCTGACTCAGCCAGAAATTCCCTGGGAGACTGCCCCACGGGTCCATGGGGCCAGAAACTCGATTGCATCCATTTCACCCAGTAGGAAATTGGTAAATCTTTGTCTTGTGAACAAATACTTATTAAATGCTTCCAGCCTGCCAGGGCTGTCATGGGGCTGTGGCTGGATCAGTGAACCTAGCAGATCCGGGTCCCTGCCCCGATGGACTTTACATTCAGCTGGGGCATTGGCAAGGCCCGGGGGTAAAGCCAGTGGGGTGGGGTCCGCCATGGGATGGGTCCACATAGGGTGGATCATCAGGAGAAATGTTTAGGGTAAGGTAGGATTTGCACTGTGGTTTGAAGGTTAAGTGGGGTGTGGATTTTTAAAGGGCTGGAGGCCTTACGGACAGGGGACTGAGCTACATGGCCGGGAATGAAAATGGCGCACCAGCAATGGTCTATGACCAGATCAGCTGGCTCTGCTGGGGGTGCATGCTGGGAAGTTAGACAAGAGAATGTCGGTATCACATGGGGTTATGGCACACAAGGTATGTACTCGAACATCTTGGGTTCGACTCCCAGCTCTTGTACTTGCTAACCTTGTGATCCAGGGCATGCTCCTTAACCTCAATAAACTTCATTCTCCTGATCTAGAAAGTAGGCATAATCTAACTAGCTCATACATTGGTCCCAAGCATTTAGATGAGATCATGAGATTAATTGAAATGAATGTAAATGAATGTAAAAGGCTTTTTTAGCTGTTGAATATTAACATTGGAGAAACAGCTTACTCTCTAGGCAAACCAGAACTCACTACTAAAAACTCGGTTTGGGCGCTCGTGACGCCTGCATACTGAGGGGCTTGGCTGCCTGGTCAACCCTTCCTTTACGACCCTCTGTCCACCCCACGGCAGCCATGCTGGACTGAATGGCAGCACTGGGGTCAAGATGAGACAGGAGAGGTGCCTCGAACACATTTGCATGGCCTGGCCTCCTTCAGTTTTGCACCCTAGGCACCCCACTTGCCTCGCCCTGGCAGGGGCTCTGCCGAACCTAGGAAACCTTGTTGGTCGACACAGTACATTTCTCAAAGTGTGTTTCTTGGTCTACTTAAGTCAATATCATAGGGGCCACTTCTTAAAATTATATTCATGGACCTGACACAGTCAGCATCTCTGGAGATAAGGACAGGGGATCTGCATTTTCACACACACACACACACACACACACACACACGGGATTCCCAGCCCCTCTACCCATACAGTACCTTAGAGCAGAAGTTCTGTGAGTGTGGCCCCAGACCAGCAGCATCAGCATTGCCCAGGAACTCATAAGAAATACAGATTTTTGTCCACCTCCCCAGTCGACTGAAACAGACACTCTAGGGGTGGGGCCCAGCAATTTCTATTTTAACAAGCCCTCCAGGTAATTCTGATTCACATTAAATTCACATGGGGGAGATTTTAAAAACTACCAATATCCAGCCCCATCCTAGATGAAATCAGAATTCCTTCAAAAGCTCCCCCACCACGTCTGCCTTTGGCTCAGGTCATGATCCCAGAGTCCTGGATCGAGCCCCACATTGGGCTCCCTGCTCAGCGGGAAGCCTGTTTCTCCCTCTCCCTCTGCCTGCTGCTCTGCCTACTTGTGCTCTCTCTGTCTCTGTCAAATAAATAAATAAAATCTTTAAAAAAAAAAAAAAAAAGCTCCCCCACCACAGGGGCGCTTGGGTGGTTCAGCTCAGGTCATGATCCCAGGGTCCTGCATCGGGCTCCCTGCTCGGTGGGAAGTCTGCTTCTCCCTCTCCAACTCCCCCTGCTTGTGCTGTGTTTCTCTCTGTCAAAAAATAAATAAAAATCTTTAAAAATAATAATAATAAAAGCTCCCCCACCAACCCAGTAATCCTAATGGGAGGACAGAGTTTATGATGATCACTGGAAGAAACAGGAAGTTGGCACAAATGTATGGCATTACAAAGTATATAGTTCAGCCTTGGGCATTGTCTCAGTTAATTCTTGCAACAAGCTGCCCCCCTGCTGTGGTCTCATTAGCCCGGGAAGAACCTGAGGCTTCCAGAGCTTCAGGGGCTTGGCAGCGCCCCCACCTCCACTCCCCAACAAGGGCAGTTTTGCTGGCCTTGACTGGGCATCCGCCTGGCCTGGATCTCAGGGAAGACTGCCTGTCCACTTGGCTCTTTGCACCTTTTCCAGGTGCTAAAAAAGCCTGTTGGCAGCCCGGTGCTCGGGCAGAACTGGGGCTGAGAGAGCTCCACAAAGGGAGCGTGGGGAGACAGGAAGAGAGAGTTGGACGACACCTTAGGGTTGGGCCTAGAATGGTGAGCCCCAAGGACTCATCACCCCAGGCATTTTCTGGGGTTTTCTACTAAGGCCTGCCCCTGTGCTTGGTGCTTTAAGTGAGCCATCTCCTGTGTGTTCACATGATCTCTGAGGGAGATAACACTCCCAGGATCGTCACATGGTATCCCTGCTTTGCAGATGAGGAAACTGAGGCCCAAAGACTCTGGAGAGCCTGCCCCGGGGTCACCGGTGGGGTCACCGGTGCGATCAGGATGTCTGCAACGGCTCTCCCACCACTCCGGACATCAGAGGCAGGGTCCCCGGGGAAAGGGGGGGGGGCAGGGGGGCTTGGGACCGGCGAGGAGGGGGTGGGGCTGAGCCGGCAGCCCCCGCCACCCAGCCGCCCTAACGGTCTCCCGTCCTCCCGCGCAGGCCCTTCCTCGTTCTGCCGCCGCTGATGGAGTGGATCCGGGTGGCCGTGGCGCACGCCGGCCACCGCCGCAGCTTCTCCATGGACAGCGACGACGTCCGCCAGGCGGCCCGGCTGCTTCTGCCCGGCGTGGACTGCGAGCCGCGCCAGCTCAGGTAAGGCCGGGCCGGGCCGGGGCCCCGCGAGCGAGGGGCGCCCCTCCGGGGTGGGGAGAGCGGGCCCCGCCGGCCGCGCGCAGGCCTCCGGGCGCAGCGCCCCCCACCTTCCCGCCAGCCGGAGCCCCGCCCCGCGCTGGGCGCCCCGCGGGCCGTGCGGGCTCGGCCGGTAGTAGTGACAGACGCGGGGCTGATGAGCAGCGGGTCCCTGGCTGGACTGGCGGGGAAGGGGGAGGACGGGAGAGGAGCAAGGCTGCGTGGGAATGCTCCGCTTCTTCGAGGACCAGATAACCGTGTGCTTCTTTCTATTCTCCTTCTTTCTACTCGCATTCTGCTCCTCTCCCTCCCGCCTTCTTCGCTCTCCCCACAAGAAATGCCGGGCTTCCTGTAGTTTCTGACAACACCTTGCAGGGGACAGTTGCTGGCTGAGAAACAGCACAAACTCTGCTTCTTTGCATACCTGGGGATGGCTTGGCTCACTCTTTTCTAGGTCTGTATCCACGCCTCTCCTTCAGGCGGGGAATTCTTCTTGGGCCACTCAGGGACACCATGCTTTGGGGCTCATTTTTACCCAAAGCAAAAGTAATACAATTACTCACTCCGGCTGAGTCAAAACCTGGGTCTAAATGCGAAAAGCAGGAAGCTCGGAGCTGTGTGTGCCTGTGTGTGCACTCTCTGGACTCCTTGTGCTGGCTTTCAGGGGTCGTGGTTGCCATTTCCTTTCTTTTTTTTCCCCAGCTTTGTCGAGATACAATTGATATCACATTGTGGAGGTTTTAGATGTACAAGGTGTTGATTTGATACATTTAAATATTGCACAATGATGACCACCACCGCATTAGCTCACATCTCCATCCTTTTACACAGTAACCATTTCTTTTTTGTGGGCAGAATATTCAAGACCTACTCTCTTAGCAACTTTTGGGTGTATAGGATACAGTATTTTTAGCTATAATCACCATGCTGTACACGAGATCCCCAGAACTTATTCATCCTATAACAGGAAGTGTGTACCCTTGGACCAACATCTCCCCATTTCCCCCACCCACCCGCCCCTGGCAACCACCATTCTAGTCTCCGTTTCTCTGAGCTCAATTTAAATTCCACATATAAGTCTCTCTCTGTCTGCCTTATTTAACTTAGCATAATGCCCTCAAGGTCCATCCAAGCTGTTGCAAATGGTAGGGTTTCCTTCTTTCTCATGACTGAATAATATTCCATAATGTACTTAAATATTTTTTCACATCTACTTTATCCATTCATCCATCGACAGACACTCCAGTTGTTTCCATATCTTGACTACTGTGACTAATGCTGCAGTTGAACGTGGGGGTGCAGAGGTGTCTTTGAAATCCTGTTTTCGTTTCCTTTGGAAATGAACCCACAAGTGGGATTACTGGATCATAGGGGAGTTTATTTTTCATTTTTTGAGGAACTTTCATCCTGTTTTCTATGGTGGAATGGTGGCTGTACCGATATACATTTCTACCAACAGTGCACGGGGATTCCTTTTTCTCCACATCCTCGCCAACACTTGTTCTTTCTTAGCTTTTTGAGGAGAGCCATTCTAACAGGCGTGAGGTGATAGCCCCTTGTGGTTTTGATTTGCATTTCTCAGCATCTGGAGTTTCTAAACAGTTTTGGGGAGGTTTCATTCAGTTTGTGAGGTCTCTGTGTTCCTTGAGTGTCCATGTCCCTGGGTGTAATGCTTCTGAGCTGTTCGGGGGTCTGTATCCCTGGGTGTGAGATCTTCAAATTGCTGAGAAGTCTGTGTCACAGTGTCTGTGGGCTGTTGGCAGGTCTGTGCTCACATTTTGAGCTGTCTGGCTACTTGAGGATCTGTGCCCCAGGTTTAAAGTCTCCCAGCTATTTGGTGTGGTCTGTGCAGGGTTGGAAGTCCCTAGGTTCCTTGTGGGTTCTGCATCCTGGATTGCTGGTCTCTGAACTCAGAGTACAAGCTCTCTGAGCTGTTGAAAGGGTCTTTATCAATGTGTAAGATCTATTGGCTGGTTGGAGTCTTTGTTCTTGGGGGCCTTGAACTGGCTAGCTGTTCCCAGGGTGTGAGGTCTCTGGCTGTTTGGGAATTTGTATTCTTGGTGTATGGTATACAAGACAGTTTTGGGTATGTGTCCAAAATATGTCTGTCCGCAGGTCTCTGTTTCTGTATTGTGAGGTTCTGGAAGTATTTGGGGAGTCTGTATTCAGAGTATCTCATTCCAAACACTTGGGTATCTGTGTTCAGTGGAGTGAATCCCTTGAGCCATCTGTCGGTCTCCGTTTACAAGCTGTGTAGGCATCTCTGTCTAGAGTATGAGAGCCGAGAAGTTTGGGTGTCTGTGTCCAAGGCGTGGGTTGTCTGAGTGGTTTGAGGGTCCTCATCTCAGAGTGAGTTCTCCAAGTTGTTTGTTAAGTGTTTGATGTCCATCTGCTATTGGGGATTTGTGCTGATGAGTGGGGTTTCTGAACTTTTTTGGTGATCTGTGTTTCAAGGTGTGAGTCTAAAATATGTACAGAACTCATACAACTCAATAACAAAAAACCAAACAATCTGATTATAAAACGGGCAGAGGATCTGAATAGACAGTTCCCCAAAGAAGACACGTTGTGAGATGTTCAACATCACTCATCATCAAGAAAATGTGAGTCAAAACCACAATGAGAGATCACCTCACACCTGTCAATGACTGTTACCAAAAAGACAAGAAACAACAAGTGTTGGTGAGGATGTGGAGAAAGGAGAACGCTCATGCACTGTTGGTGGGAATACAAACTGGTGCAGCCACTGTGGGAAACAGTATGGAGCTTCCTCAAAAAATTAAAAATAGAACCACCTTATGATCCAGCAGTTCCATCTGAAGAACACAAAAACACTAATTGGAAAAGATACATGCACCCCTGTGTTTATTGCACATTGTGTACAATGGCTAAGATATGGAAACACCGTGTCTATTGATGGATGAATGAATAAAGATGTGGTATATATATATATGGTAGAATACTACTTAGCGTAAAACCCAGTGAAATCTTGCCATTTACAACAACATGGATGGACGTTGAGGGTATTATGCTAAGTGAAATAAGTCAGATAGAGAAAGACAAATACTGCATGATTTCACTTATATGTGGAATCTAAAAAAACCAAAGCAACAACAACAACAAAAACCCAGACTCATGGATACAAAGAACAGACTGGTGGTTGCCAGAGGAGAGGGGAATGGGGCAGTGGGCAAAATGGGTGAAGGGGATTAAGAAGTACAGACTTCTAGTTATAAAATAAATAAGTCATGAGGATGGGGAATATATTCAGTAATAGTTATTAACTTGTAAGGTGACCAATGGTAACTAGACTTCTGGTGGTGATCATTTCACAATGTATACAAATGTCAAATCACTCTATTGGGTATATCTGAAACTAATATAATACCATACATCAATTATGCCTCAATAAATAAAAATAAATTTTTAAGACACCTTAGGACAAACGTCTTCAAAGATTTAAGAAGCCTCACACACTAAACACACTCAAGATACTTCAGACTCAAACTTTGAAACCCACACCCTAAATGAGTTCAGAGACCTCACACCTTGAATACAGAACCCCAGATGCCATCGATGCAAACTTGGACCACAGACCCTCAGAGGGGTTAGAGATTTCACACCTGAACACACACCGTGAAAGACTTCCGACTCCTACATAATCACCATTTTCAAATCCCGGCTGTGCCTCTGATGAGGAACTGCCCTTCCTCTGAAATTCATCTAGCCCAATCATGTGCCCAGGCTGCAGCAATTTCCACCCTTCCAGGATCTGACTGGGGTCTGCGAGGAAAGGGAGGGTTTGAAGCACAAAACAGAGCCCCCTGAAGACCCAGAGGCTCCCCTTCCCCCGGGAACACGCAGGGGGCTGATGTAAGTCATCATTGCTGGCATTTATTGAATGCTTACTGTATGCTGGGCTCCTTGAAGTGCTTCACACAGATTAACTAATATCTGATATTTCCCAAACCTTGAGGTGGATACTGTTATTATGCCCACTTTATAAATGAGGAAACTGAGGCACAGATAGGTTAAATAGCATGCCCGAGATCATAGGACTAGTAAGTGATGAAGCCAGGATATGGATTCAGGTGGCCCAGACCTTCAGGCCCACAGTCCTAACCACTGAGTTGTACTCTCCTTGGGTTCCTATCTAGGCTGTCTAGGCAGTTTCTACCTGCACGGCCATCCCTTATACCTTGCCACCTGGAATAACAGCATGTCTTGGGGAGAGGCTAAGGAGCAGTCACTTATTGAGCACCTACTGTGTGCCAGTTATCAATTACAGGAGGAGATTTACATTCATTACTTGTCTCCTTTAATCCCTGAGGCAGCCTCCTGAAGTGAGTATCATCTTCCCATTTTACAGATTAGGAAGCTGTTGGGGAGACAGTTTATCGATGGAGGTACCAGGGATGAGGTCCTCGTGGCTCATACTCCAAAGCCCATCCTCTGCCCACAACACTCCCCTGCTGCCTGTTTCCCAGAAGTGGCACCTTACCTGCAGACTCTCTCCCACCACCTCACCTGCTGTCCCCAGCTCGAATCGGAGCTGTCCTCAAGGCTCCAGCTCTTCTCTTTGCAACAGTCCTGAGTCTGCTGGGTGGCAGGGAAAGTAAGATGTTTCCTTAACTGTGGCTGCCCAAGTATTCCTTCTTGTTTGTCATGCTCTCAAGAGACTTCATAGCTTAAAGGTTAGGAGATTGGGCTCCAGAGTCCCATTGTCTAGATCCAAATCCCACCGCCATGGTTAATTAGCTGTGCATCTTTGGGCAAGCTAGTTACCCTCTCTGGACCTTTGTTTCCCAACCCATAACATGTCCATTATGAAAACAGCCCCCCTCAGAGGTTGGTGCAGGCACAAAGTGGGGCCAAGAACATGAGACACCTGTGCAGACAAGGCCTGAAAGGAAGAAAGTGCTCACGACATGGTCTTTATTAACTAGCATTGCCCCATGCCTCTA